GAAATTCACCTTACACCTCGAGAAATTCTGCGTTTGCCCACTATAAATATGCCTAATAAATAATTGTTTGAGCAGAAAATGAAAATATCGGCCAATGCTGTTCAACACTCGTCAGAAATAAATTTATTAAAATCTGTCCAAAAAACGAGGTGATGTCGATTGTTCACTTCTATTGCTATCGCCAAGGGACTCCATGGCATATTCTTCTCGTCAAGCCAGCAGAGTGAGTCCAACCAGAAATGGTGAGGGCTTTCAAAAGTAAAAAATTATTTCACATTTTATTTGCAAATTTCGCAATAATATGAGGAGAATTATTCTGGCTTTCACTAAAATAATTTTAAATATGACGATAATTTTAACGAACGAAATAAATTTTACATTTTCGGTACAATCGTGAACGCTGTTAAAGTGCTCAAAAGACAACAATTTAGGCCACCAATTATCGCGCAAAGCAATCCGTACGGATTCTTGAGTGTTTTTGACTTCCAAGTTGCATATATTAAACTACCATTTGTCATATATCCGAAAAAGCAGAGCTGAAATTTTTCCTCAAAAAATTTAAACGTTGTTAGAAAATGGAGCAAATTTTTATAGCCTTTCTTCCGTGAAGGAACAATGAAAAAATGAATCAAAAAATGTGGAAAAAATAAAGTTGTATTAAAATCCTATGTAAAGGCAATAATGGCAGACAGTCTATTTCTAAATAGAATATATAGAGTATAATAAATAGAATTATAATAAATAAATAAAATTTGTCTGGACCGACAAATCAGTGGAACGAGCCAGGCGTGAAAAAAAACAGATTCATCCTATATGCTTCATCTTTTATTTGCAAACAGGAGAAATTGAGAATCATGGAAAAACCCTCATGCAAAATGTAAATTTTTTCTAAATCCATCATTAACAGACTTCCAAAGAATATTTCTATTAATCTAATAAAAGAATGCGCTCCGATTTAGGTCGCTGTGAAATCCAAAGAAAAAGTGGGGAAAAGCTGGAAGTTGCAAGAAAAATGGAAAATTTTAATATTCTGGATTATGCTGCTTCAATAAAGTATTTAAAGATTACGATTAAAACCATTTACGATAAGTCTTTCGATGCGAATTATGTTTTGGTCGAATCCGCTATTCTGGAATCTGGAATGGCAGACCACGGAGTTCAGGCATGTGCAGTGGATATGTTAAACAGTGGATAAAGGTTTTTCTCCATAGTAACCATCTCTTAGAATTCCACAATAAGTGAATGACTTGTTACGCAAAAATCTATTTACCATTGATATGACTCCACAAGCCACAATATCTTCAGTGATCGTATTTTCTGAATGATTCATTCTAATAGTCCACTCCAAATTGCAATTTCAGGAGCGATTATCTGTAAATAAATAAGAATTAAAAGGGTTGAACTGTTGAAGCTGTGCTAAATAATTAAAATTGCTGTTAGGAGGGAAGTGAGTCACAAAATATCTCTGGAGCGCTTCAATTTGACTTTAGGGGGGTTACGAAAGCTTCAATACTTTTTTTGTGGAGGAAAAGTAGGATTTTTATCCTTTCAAATTTTGATTTTAAAATTAATTGGAGTTTGCTCTTGCATTCCATTGTGAATATTTGTTTGTCTTTGCCTTCGTAAGTTGATTAAATTTGAGTTGATTTACAATTTAAGAATTTGTTTAATTGCTCGTTATGGGATTTTTTAGTAACCAACTTAGAACTTTTTGCACCTAAATATTTTGCCGACCTAATATTTCTTTCATTATAAATCTTTCCAACTCTTTTCCAACTATTTGTTTAAGAGTTTTCACCATTACTGGTTAAACTCGCTCCGCTGGCTTGTCGCACTAGACAAATATGCCAGAAAATCCCTTGGCGATATAAATACGGGTGAGTCGCCAGCATCGCCCGCCATTTTGGATAGGTTTGCTCCCGCGGGGAATCGAACCACAGCATCGGCGCTCCAACATCAATTCTATCCCCAAATATATTGTTGTAACAATAAAGCTCATAAAGATAAATTTTTAATGACCAAAAATTAATTCACAGTTGGATTAATATGAAGCAAATATATGAGAAATTAATATTCACCAATTTCCACGAACTATTATGTGCAATAATTGTTAAAATGAGTTGGTTTGCTAAAGAAAAAATCCTATAAAAGACAACTAAGTCAATTCACTGAAGAAAAAATTTTTTTCAATGCAAATTAATTCAAAAAAAAAATCTTAATCGAATTCAATTATTTCGAAATTATTTTCTGCAAAATGTATAAAAATTATTTTAATCACTTTCATTTCTAAACAATATGGATGCACTGAAATCAGCGATTCTTTAAACATCCCATAGCTGATGATCGTCATCAGCAATATGTTCCTCGTACTTCAATATTGAAGACTAAGTGGTTTCGACTAGTTTAACCGTTAAAGTTAATTGCTAAAGTTGTCGTAGACTACGTTTAATTTTATCATTGTGTGATCTTAACATGCTGAAATGGATTGGCGAAATAAATATGTAAATATAAATGTTTCTTGTGAGGAAGATTTCTTATAATTTTTGCCGCCTCATGTGGAGTTTGACCAATATTATGATTCGCAATATGATCATAAGCTTCCTTAACTTGGATAGAGCTCCCATTGTTTGCTTTGTTTTTTGTTTGTTTTGTTTTGCAACTGATTTTATCAGTTTTTTTTGAACATTTTTTTTAACAATATCATCCACATTGCAATACCATTCTCTTAAAAATTTGACCAAAATATTACTCAAGTTGAATCGATAATAGTTATTTAAAAATCCATCGTTAACCTTTACATAGATAGATGGTTATAAAAATTTTAAACGCTATGTTTGCATGGCGATATAATCCTTGAACAGGGATATTTAACTGGAATGGCCAACTGGCATCAAAAAAGACAAATCTCTATCCAATAAGGAATGTAAGACATTGCACATCAATTCAAGAAAAGTCCGATGCACCTACATTTATATAAAATATTCTAATACAATAATCGTGCAATCGTGCAACAATCTTGGTTCAATATCAATAGCAAATAAATGAAACAAATTAAATTAAGAAATAATGCTTCTATGCCACATATGGTGACGGCATTTAAAACAAGCTGGTCTCGTACCAGTAATCTCATTTAGTTGGAAATTCTTCCTGAGGAAACAATGCCCATACACTCAATAAGCATATCTGGCAATTGCCTGACCGAACTCCAAACTTCGATTTATAATTCAAATTAAATATAATAAATGCAATTTTCGAATTATTGCATAAACTTTTCTGCATAAATATTATATTTTCATTTAAGACATTCATTTGCGCAAATTCTCAAGCCTTAAACGTGGGAAAACTTGGGAGCTTATAATTTATGGATATTATCATTACTGAATTGCAACAAAATGGTTTCAGGAACAAAAATATTCACTAAATTTTAAGGTGATAATTATCTCAACCTTCAGTTGTATTCGAATTCAGCTTTGATTATCGCAAGTATTTAAGATTCTGAACTGAATTTCTTAAGGAAAACATAGAAAGATTTGAGGGAATAGGTTGGGAGGTTATCAATTACAATCGCACTTGCCGACTTGTTGCCGATTACTTGTAGATACTTCAATTTCTACAGGCAAAATAGAATTTTAACATATCTATGATTAAAAAAAATTATGTGGCCTTTTTTTATACTTTCCTGCTGTGTGGTCGAAATTAGTAAAATTGTTGAAACAAATGAGATATTTCTCTCAAAATGGCAATGGCAATAAGCGTCATTTTTTTCCTCACCATTATTGGTAAAACTAGCTCCGCTGATTTGTCGTATTAGACAAATATGTTAGGGAGCCCCTTGGCGATATAAATACAGGTGAGTCGCCAGCCATTAGCCGGATTTACTCCTACGAGGAACCGAACTTCAGCATTGGCTCCAAATTTAGCAAGCACCCACTGAGCCTTTCTATCCTCTAATAATTAGCGTCTTATTAGAAAAATATTTCACTTTAAATAAAATCATTGCAAAAATACAATAAGGCTATGCATAAACCTAAACAAATTTTTCTAATAACCTTAGAAATAGACAAATATCAACAATTGGTAAAATAAAATTGGAAATGGAATCACCCATGAAATATCAAAATTGGCTCAAAAAATTCAGTGTCAAACATTTAAATGGATTCAAAAATTCAAGTTTATTTAACTCGAAAAAATACGCAAACATAAAAATTAATTTTTCGCCAACAGTTGTTGATATCCCTTATTTTAACTCTGAAACTGCTTAACAAAATATCGTCTTATTGAAAAAAAAAAATCGCCTTGTGTCAAAAACAACTAATAGGAAAAATTCTCAAAAAAAACCGCATAATTTAAAAAATTTGACATATATATCAGTCAGCATATGTGATATGGCATCTATGTTTCTACTATGGCTAATAGGCGCTATCAACATATTTATGATGCGATACATGAGTTCATGCGTTGCTTGGCTAATAGACCGAGCAAAGTCAAAAATTAGCTGATGGAAATTTGTGAAGAAATAAACTGGATCGCCAGCTACACCAGACAGAAGTCAAATAATTCAAATTACAATTGGTCACGATACATAAATTTTATAAATTTTAATAAATTCGCAATGAACAAATTATTAAATTGGAGTATCAAATTCAATGTCCATTGCTTACAAATATATTAAATATTAAATTGTATATTCAGAAGTGCATTTTCGTTTCATTGAAATAATTGCGTTCATTGTGTTAATGAAAAGGAGTGATGAAAAAAGTAATGAATAGAGAAATTTCTGAAGAAAAGAAAAAATTTTATGAATTTTATGAAATTTTATGAATTTGGCATGTCTTATTTGGGATGCATTTCTTGCTTCCACTAAAGTGAACATGAGCTCGATTTCCTTCGCATGATAAGGATGAATCTGCCATCAAAAGGTTGGCTGATGGGGTGCTTCTCATTGCTACTTTGACTAACTGAGAAAAGTCAAAAATTAGACGAGGATTTGCGATTAGATAAATTTCGAAGAAGTAAATTATGCGCAGCCACATCCAAAAAAAAAGTAATATAGGTTTAAACGAGTAGGAAAAGTGGTAAAAGCATTGATCTATTATTTGGCCTATGGAACCGGCTGTATTGATTACTTTTTTACAAAAAGGAATTATTCGCAAAAAAACGGACGAATAAAAGATTGTAAGAATTATAACAATACCATTCCAGATTCCAGAATGGCTAAACGGATTCGACCAAAACATAATTCGCATCGAAAGACTTATCGTAAATGGTTTTAATCGTAATCTTTAAATACTTTATTGAAGCAGCATAATCCAGAATATTAAAATTTTCCATTTTTCTTGCAACTTCCAGCTTTTCCCCACTTTTTCTTTGGATTTCACAGCGACCTAAATCGGAGCGCATTCTTTTATTAGATTAATAGAAATATTCTTTGGAAGTCTGTTAATGATGGATTTAGAAAAAATTTACATTTTGCATGAGGGTTTTTCCATGATTCTCAATTTCTCCTGTTTGCAAATAAAAGATGAAGCATATAGGATGAATCTGTTTTTTTTCACGCCTGGCTCGTTCCACTGATTTGTCGGTCCAGACAAATTTTTTCAGTAAGCTATTTAGCAATTCTATTTATTATACTCTATATATTCTATTTAGAAATAGACTGTCTGCCATTATTGCCTTTACATAGGATTTTAATACAACTTTATTTTTTCCACATTTTTTGATTCATTTTTTCATTGTTCCTTCACGGAAGAAAGGCTATAAAAATTTGCTCCATTTTCTAACAACGTTTAAATTTTTTGAGGAAAAATTTCAGCTCTGCTTTTTCGGATATATGACAAATGGTAGTTTAATATATGCAACTTGGAAGTCAAAAACACTCAAGAATCCGTACGGATTGCTTTGTGCGATAATTGGTGGCCTAAATTGTTGTCTTTTGAGCACTTTAACAGCGTTCACGATTGTACCGAAAATGTAAAATTTATTTCGTTCGTTAAAATTATCGTTTTATTTAAAATTATTTTAGTGAAGGCCAGAATAATTCTCCTCATATTATTGCAAATAAAATGTGAAATAATTTTTTACTTTTGAAAGCCCTCACCATTTCTGGTTGGACTCACTCTGCTGGCTTGACGATAAGAATATGCCATGGAGTCCCTTGGCGATAGCAATAGAAGTGAACAACCGACATCACCTCGT